GAAAACTCACTTCAGAGAAAGCTCTGCTGGTTCTTTAATAGATAATAAAATTTATTCCACTTTAAGCTTTTTTTCTTCTCTCTTTCCATCAATTCAATCACTTTATGCAGATTAAATTCCTCAAAGCGTTTTCAACATTCAGACAAACCATTCCACAAAAACATGGCCGATTTTTCTTATCTTATTTGTTTGCTATTTGGCTTCAACTCAAATCTTTCTTTACACTAAAAGCTTCAAAACCGTTCTTTCTCTCTTTGTTTTTAAATGTGTCCTTTAAAGGACTGATTTATATCTCAATTATTTTGAACTTAACAAGGGTCTCAATCAATTATTAAGCCAAACAACCATTAATGAATGAAATATTTCTTATTGAAAATAAAACGCAGACGTTTATATGGAAGTCGTGGGATGATACATCTCACAGTCTTCCACCTTTCCACTGATTAAAACTGTCAACATTACAGTAAATTCTCTCCTGACTTGTACACAAATCTCTGTACTTCAATCCACTGATGGGATTACTTGCTACCATTCTGTCACAGACAAATGCCTATAGAATACTAATACCAACCTCTTATGTTTTCCTCGGCTCTGATATATCCACAGCAAGGTTTTTACGTCTGACAGGCTACTTTACTGATCACTCGAGCTAATCACAGATATTCATGGACATAAAAGCATTAGAGGTACTTAGATATAAATGTCTTACAATTATCGATGGACATGTTTTTTTTTAACATTAGAATCATCTGATACAACGATATTAATATGTAGGAATCACCTAATACAACGATATCAATAAGTTCAAATCATCTGATATCAATAAATTCAATTCATCTTATATGACGATATCAATAATTTCAAATCATCCGATATGACGATATCAATAAGTTCAAATCATCTGATATGATGACATCAATAAGTTAAAATCATCTGATACGATGATATCAATAAATTCAATTCATCTTATATGACGATATCAATAATTTCAAATCATCTGATATGACGATATCAATAAATTCAATTCATTTGATATGATGATATCAATAAGTTAAAATCATCTGATATGATATCAATAAATTCAAATAATCTGATATGATGATATCAATAAGTTGAAATCATCTGATACGACGATATTAATAAGTTGGAATAATACGACAATATCAATAAGTTGGAATCATCTGATACGACGATATTAATAAGTTGGAATAATATAACGATATCAATAAGTTGGAATAATGTAACAATATCAATAAGTTGGAAATAATATGACAATATCAATAAGTTGAAATGACACGACAATATCAATAAGCTGGAATAATACGATGATATTAATAAGCCCAAATACATTTGTTTCTTAAAGATACATTATGGGAAATGAGATAAAGAGATGGCAGTTCTCGCTATAAGAGTTAAAAACTAGATAGTGTAAGGGTAATTTGCGGAAAATTTTAGTCAAATTGATCCACTATGAGCCGAGAAAGAAGCGGGTGAAATTTTTGCATAGTCTCGGTCATCATTACTAATATCATTAATATAAACAGCATAGTCTCGATTATCCACTTTTATTGATTTAATTATCAATAGCCGTTAGCGGCATATAGGAATCTAATCCAGCCAACATCGAAGGCTAGCCTTGACATTGAGAGTTTATTATGGTCTGGATAAGTTAATTAATGTCTAATTGATAATTTAGATAACATTTCAGGCCTAAAGAAAGACTTGTAATAAGCAGATTTTGCTCTTGCATAATGCATGTTTAAATGAAAGGCCTGGAAATAACAATTTTTACTTGTATCTGAAAAATTGGACAAAAGAGGGTGTGAATGGTGATTTGTGTTGTATATCTGGACCCGAATATAACGTTCAATACCCTCCCAGCCACCCTATCACAAATAAAAAACCCAATTTACATGTTTCATAGAAAGAGAATAATAAATGAATATATTATACAGTAATTTAGGGTATCCCAAGAGCCGCACCTGTATCTGACACTGAGTAGCTATGCAATAAAAGTTTCAAATTACTTTCAAAATTTGTATAACACTTCATTTTTTCAAGTCAACAAAAAAAAAATCTTAAAACAACAAGGCCTTGGTTCATATTATTGTGGGTTCGTTGTCAAGTAATGTGACATGCCATCAAATATAACTATTCAATCTCACTTAAAGATTCATCGCAAGTATTTCAATAATTAACTCCCCTTTGTTACTCTCCTCTTACCTGCAGTTTCAACTTTCATGGAGGACATTCACAAACTGACATGCGATCAGATAAAACTGACAAATGGCAATTTTTATCAGATCTATCAGATATGAAAATCGCTTGATTCCTATCGTTTTACTAAGTAATGATAGAATTAACAATTGCTATCCTCTTTTTCTCAACCAGTTTAATACATGTCTTTACAACAACCTGTTCAATTATTCTCCTACATGCAAGAATTTTTTTCTTTTCATCTCCTCTTATCTATTCTTGTGGGAAAGATTATTGTAAAAATATCCGTTTAAACCAACTCAAAAATATTTTTTAAAACTTTTATATCCGTGACAACCATTAATGTTCATTTAATTAAATAGAAAAGTTCGAGATAAAAATGTAGTCCTGGATTAAAATTTCAGATAAGTGCAGGACAACAGAACCACATACAAAAACAAATAGAAACTAAAAAGAGAAGATGAAATGAAATCGGGTTTCTGCACTTTCTGAGCTAATGAAGACAGTCTTACGCCATGAAATGTGCTACGAGACAAATTTTTCCTGGACAGTAGCGTTTCTGCATACTCTTAATTAAATATACATTAAGCAAGAGCTAAATCTGCCTATTGCAGGTCTTTCTTTAGGCCTGAAATGTTATCTAAAGTACTAATTAGATATTAATTAACTGATCCAGGCCTTAATCAACTCTTGATGGCATCAGATTTCTCCGATATTAATAGATTAAAATGGTTCAGCGATACTTTGATTTAATCAAATATGGAGGACCGAGACTTAGCTTCGATCAACCAGTACGGTGGTTGAAATTATTGCACACGTCTGTCAAACCTTCAAAGGCTAATATCTTTGCTTGCAATAGAGTAATTTGAATGAAATTTTCAAATTATTCATTTTACATTATCTATTTTTGAACTATTATAGCAAGAATGGCTAGTTCTTTATCTAAATCTTACATAATGTATCTTTAAGTTACAATTGCCAAGGGTTCTTTAACGTGCATATGCCACCATGTTTTTAGTCAGAACAAGGACTTATAAATACCATTGGCAGCACGCTGAGGAGCAACTGACAGTTGGAAATCGAAATAAGAGAAGGCTGTAGCGCCGCTGTCTGGGCAAAATTCCTATGCTATGAGACATTCTTGTTGCATTCCAAGAAGGCCTATAATACTCGCTACACACACTGCTCACCAGTATGGAGGGTTGGATGGCCGAATGGTTAGCATGTGCACGCTGTAGCATAATGCCGGTCATTGAGTCAACTGGCATGGTTTCGAATCCCTGGTTGTACATGACAAGCCTTGTCACGAAGGAGTAGGGTGGCCTGTCCAACCTCGTGGGTTTTCTCCGGGTTCTCCGGTTTCCTCCCACTGCTAAAGACGCCTACGCGCATGCGAATTATTGAAATGAAATTGAGCCATATGTTAGTCCCGAAATGACCTAGTTTGTGTCAAATGGAAGTTAAACCCCATTTCTTTCTCTCTCTCTCTCTCTCTCTCGCTCACCAGTATGTCTCTTTAAATCTGTCCTCATTTATTTTAATTTGTTACTTGATTCTACTGAATAAACTAGGCTCGTGTTTCATGCCAGATTTTGTATTTTTTAGTGGGTGGGCACCTGATTACAATTTGATGCCTAGACACACATCGTAGGTCAATGTCTCTCTGGGTTTTCACCAGTCTATATAACAAAATATTATCATATATAACAAGGGAAATATGTGCTTGTTTTTTTAACGTTAAAAGCTTTCAATACATGTTTGTATTATTTGAAAGATTTGAAATGAAGGCTAATTTTGTCTAACAACATCTGGTGAAATGTCCACTCAACACAAACTAGGCCATTTCAGGACTAACATATGGTTCAATTTTATTTCAATATTTCGCTTGCGTGGTGGGGTCTTTAGCAGTGGGAGGAAACCGGAGGACCCAGTGAAAACCCACGAGGCCGGACAGGCCACCCTACTTCGGGGAATCATAACCACACCAGTTGACTCAGTGACAGACCTTATGATGCAGCGCGCATGTGCTAACCATTCGGCCATCCAACCCCCCTATCAATAACAGAAAGACAAATTTGATTGGAATTGAAATAAAAGTAGGCTGTTGAATAGGTGTCCAGATAAAGTTTCCCTCATAGAACCCTGTCTGGCGTCCACCCTCCTTTATTAGCTCCATCGGTGCAGAATAGGACATTAAAGCGATAATTTCATATTTTTAAGTTATATTTTTAAAATGTATTAAAATAACGCCTTAAAATAGTTGGTATCTATAAACAGTCCTACGTTGTTAAAGAATAATCCTATTAATCCTATAATTCAGTATTGCCACTTGAGAAATTGACAAAAATATCATTTTCAACTTCAAATTCAAACGTTTGAAAATAGCTATTCCATGGGGGGGAATAGAAAAACAAGGGAGGTAATTGTGTTATTATTTCCGGGGTGAATGATTTTTAAGTGTGAGAATGATACCTATGATCGTATAATAGTGAGTTGACAACCTATTGAGCAAAAGACACAGAAAAAATTATGTTTTGACTTCCTTAGAAAATATGAAATTCTCGCTTTAAACCCCATTTTATTTCATTATTCTTGTTCTTGTTACAAATCTCCAGTAAATATACACAGATCACAATTCTATAGAATGCTGCGCTTATTACTGATAAAGACTAGGGAAGCAGAGTTGAAACAGCGCTCAGTAATAAGCAGTAATTGTGTTCCATAGAATTGTCACCTATGTATTCCAATTCAATCTCAAGTAAATAATAGTATAGTCAGCTTACCTTCAATGTTTTACTCTTCTTACATATAAAAAATCGAGTTATTCAACCACAGACCTGGAGAGATAAAAAAAAATACCACGCTGGTTACAACAAAAAAAATCTTAAAAAAAAACCCCAAAAAAACACAAAGGAAATATAGAAAATGAACTCAAAACCATGAACAATAACTCTAAAAAAAAAATGTATTATAGACATTGAGTGATCAAAAAAAATTCACTGGTTACAAGATAAAATATTTATAAAATTTACTAAAGAGAAAATGAAGAAACCCAACATGAACATCTTTAAAGAATCTGTATTATAAGCAGCAGAGACGAACAATGCATTAAAACTCTTACACCTGATTAGATGACGGGAGAATAAAATGAAGATATCGTTTAGATATGATATTGTGAAAGCCTTGTCACAAATAACATCAAGACAATGACGTCCCCCGAGAGATGAAAAGGCAATTTTCATGACATTTCGTCACTCACAAGAATTGAAAAGCAAGTAAAATTCTAAAATGGCATTATAAGTTTAAGCAATCTTCTTTCCTCGGCTGGGATTGCAAATGTCAAGCTCGTTGATTATTTATAATTTACTAACAGAGAAATGGCAAAATGTAGGAAAATCAAATTTAGAACTCTTAACATGACACGTCAACAATTAAACGTATTTCACATTAAAAATTAATTTAAAAAAAAAAAGAAAGAATTTTAAAGTAATTATGAAGTAGTTCACGCTGTTAACAGAGAAAAGTCGAGTTTTTCTAACTTTAGCTACAATTATATTGTGCATCTAATTTCTACATCTTCACTAAATTTTCATTTTTGGCAACAATGACGTCAATTACTTTTAGTTTTTACTAGAGTTGGGTGGTCTAGTGTTTTAACGCATGCATATTAAAACCATAAGGCCTGTCATTGAGTCAACTGGCGTGGTTTCAATTCCCCGGTTGTACGTGACAAGGAGAAGGGTCGTCTGTCCAACCTCGTGGGTTTTCTCCGGGTCCTCCGGTTTCCTCCCACTGCTAAAGACCCCTACGCGCATGTGAATTATTGAAATAAAATTAAACCATATGTTAGTCCCAAAATGACTCTCTCTCTCCAAATCGATTATTTAACATTAAATTAAGAAAACCTAGCCCCGGTAGATAATCTCCCGACTTGGATTAAAACAGATTAAAAAGAGGCCCATTAAAAGATTTTACTACAAAAATTAGAGGTGGCACTGGCGTCAGCAGAGGATGTAAAACATGTAGAATTTCCAATTCATATCTTTGTAAATACTCATTGGAACTGAACCAGTTCTGGACTGATGTTCCTTTCACAATATCAGAATTTACAAAGAATTTAAAATCCTTCAAATGACAATGAGAGGTCCCATGTACACATTGACCTGCCTGTAAAAGATCCCTTAATAGTTGAAATTCGAAATAAGAGTAGGCTGTAGTACCGCTGTCCAGACAAAATTTTCCTCATAGAATACTGTAAGGGGTAGGGTATGCTGGTCTTTATTAGCCCAGTCGGAGCACAGAAATAGGACACATATGTAACCTCATTTCATTTCATTTCATTTCATTTCATACATCATACATAAAATTTACATTAAGAAGAAGAAGAAACTTTATTGCATAAAAACCTTACATGGCTATGTGCATATACAAATAAACATAATAGAAAAATACATGAAACAAACAAAGGATACATACATGGACATAATTATACAAAGATACACAGCTTTACAAAGACATAAACGAATTGTATACAAAAGCTCCTTAACATTTTAAAATTTCTGTATTTTTATTCATCAACAGTATTTTAAATTGTTGTAAATCATTCAGTTTATAAAAATTTGGTTCATGAACTAGAATTAATCTGAACAGTTCTTTTCTTTTTTCGTCATGTCTTTTACATTATCATTATATTTTCATTTCATTATATCATGTTATCCCAATATATTGTTTCATGTAAAATATATTTTTGTATACATGTATATTGATGTATGTGTATGTTTTGTATACTGTTCTTAATGGACGTAATATGCAAATAAAAAAGTTGAAAAGTTGAAAGTCTATTCAAATTACCTGTGCTTAAAAACTCATCATTACAAAACACAAAGAAATATTCCCCTGGTTTATAGCCTTGAGATAGATATATGATAGGTGAATGTATGTAATATTAGTTAAACAGCAGTGAATGGCTGTCTCTCACCACTAACAATAGGTTTCCAATAACATTCACACAAGCTCCCAACTCTAACTTTTCATCGCTTCAGATGACAAGAATTTACACACACTGTACACTATTTAATAATAATAATACCACATTGCTCAACAGAATCACAGAATCAACATAGGTTGAGTCACTCTGTTAAAACTTGAACACAACACCAAAAGTTTCAAAATCACACCCCCTAATAATGTTGACAAGCCCTAGCTGATTGCATTAAACTTTTAAAAACAAAATGACCTCATTTACAAATAATTTCAACACTGCAAAAAAAAAAAAAAAAAGCACAGTAAGTCAATAAACAAAATGACCTCATTTAGAAATAATTTCGAAGCTGCAAAAAAATCCCCCCAAAATTTGTAGCACAGCAGGTCAATACAGCAAAGAGTATCCTGAATTTTTTCTTACAGGTTTGCCGGAGTTACCTTTCTTAAAGTTGATTTACTGATAGTAAATATAAATCGTTAACCGGCCAACAACAAGAGCTGCCATTAGTGTCCTTAAACACACAAGATATAAATCAGTGCTTCACGGGGTGGACTCGTTGTGTTATAACACAAGTAATGTTGTCTTGTTTTCTTTTCGTATGTTTGTTTCGGCTCTTTCAAAGTTTACCACTTTCTACACGTCTGTGACCAATGCCAAAGATTTACACATGCCACACAAATTTGTCATTCCACACACCCCTGGTTCAACTTCTATTTCTTTTCATTCCAAATCCTCCAAGGATCAAGTTAAACACACATTATTACATCATATCTAACAATAACAATAACAACAATAACAAACAACAGCCATTTACAATTCCTATTCAATATCCCATGAAATAAAACTTTGAAAAGCTGAAGGAATTTCTAGAAGAAAGTTTTCGCACAGCAAACAAAGCTGTGTCCATTATGCAATATATATAGGAGTAAAGAGTTCTGAACTTCAAGTAAAGAAAGCTATTTACTATTCCATCTCAGCATGACATAAAATTTTCTTGTAGAAAGTTTTAGCACAATAAACAAAGCTATGTCCATTACATAGGTCTTAAGTTCAAGTGAAAAAAGCTATTTATTATTCTAACTCGCATGAAATAAAACTTTACACAAGAAACAAAACTATGTCCATTACACAATATATGAAGTAAACAGGTATGAAGTTCATCAATTGATGAAAGCTATTTTGTGATTACCAATAAGTAAATAATCCTTCAGAGTATCAACAACAAACTAAGTAATATAAATGTTGTTTACTTACAGGCTGTAGCCCTGTTTTAAAACAAAAACATGGTCTATATGTATATACTATCAGCTAGTATATACAGCTATGGTATATACTGTAATATATATCCGTTGGCTACTGTAAAACAGACTAGTCCCTGCTACTATTTTAACCATATGTTATTTGACTTTTACCCCCATAAATCATAGCCAAGCAACTAACTTTAAACACATACCTTTTACTTATTGTAAAAACAAAAAAAATACAAAAATTTCTACATAGCTTTCAACCTTTCATGAATTCCACATTTCCCAGTAATTATAGGAATCAAAACTATTGGTGTGTGTGTAGGTATATTTGTGCCAAAAGTTTACAGGAAGATAATTAGACTTGAATCTTCTCAACCATACTTCCTTAAACCACCCACTTGAATTATATTATATGAGAGAGAGAGAGAGAGAGAGAGAGAGAGTTTAAAATCCACTTGACACTTCGGGACAAATATATGGTTAATTTTATTTCAATAATTCGCTTGCGGTCTTTAGCAGTGGAAGGAAATCAGAGGACCCGGAGAAAACTCACTCACGAGGTTGAACAAGGGACCCTACTCCTTGTCACGTACAAAAGAGGAAACGAAACCATCACTTTAATTATAATAGCACTTTCAAATTAAATTACGATATTCTCCAAAAATTATAAAAATATTTGTTTTTATTCCAAATCGCAGTTGGAATTCGATATAAGAGTAGGCGATAGTGCCGCTGCCCGGGCAAAATTTCCCTCATAGCACACTGTATGGCGTATGCCTGTCTTCATTAGCCCAGTATAGGAGCAGAACAGTAGGAGGTTAAACCCCATTTTATTTCATTTCATTTCATTTCCAAATCGCACACCTTATACAAATAGATAAAGTTACTGCATCTCTTGCCAAATTATTAATCAGTCAAGACAAATTCTCCGATCTGCATGTCAATAATCTAAACGTCTAAATTTAAAACTGTGATTGATAAGAAGTTGTCGGAAATGTAAATTGAGTACGATGAAAATAGCAAGCACAATAAAAATTAAGTTCGATGAAAATAGCGTCAGTAAGTGAAATAATCTTCATTTTAATAAAAAGATTAGACAAACCTGGATGACGTCCCGCCCGCTGAGATTCTAGCCATCATTAGCCAAAAATAGAATTCAGAATATGTTTCAATCAAACAAAAAAAATATGTTGTTTTGACTTTCTCTTACTTAAATTGTTTTTTTTTTACTTAAAATAGCCTACACAAAAACCATTACAGATTACTTAAACATACATTATGCAAGAACTAAAGTGGCCAATTGCAGGTCTTTCTTTAGGCCTGAAATGTTTTCTAAATTATTAATTAGACATTAATTAACTTATCCAGACCATAATCAACTCTCGATTGCATCGCTAGCCTGCGATATTTACTGGATTAGAGCCCAGTCTCAATAAATGGCTAATCGAGACTATGTTTTTTATCGCACCGACTTTAATAATGATGATTGAGGCTAGGTCCAAAATTCAATCGCTATATACTCGGTTCTGGGTGGATAAATTTGAGTGAAATTTTCAGCAAATTTTAACTTTTATAGTGAGAACTACCAGCTCTTTATCTAATCTCT